TATCTCCTATTTGAATCAATTACATGAATCACAGATTAGTTGTTCCAATCAAAAAAATTGAGAGAATTACACAAATTGAACCAAATTAAAAGATTAGAAGAATGAATAGAGATAAATTTGGGTTGACTCAAATTAAAAGCTGCTCCCATGTAACGTCACGGTTTCTCGGACCTGTTACTTGATTAAATCAATTGATCGATAATAAACTACAAATAAATCTCCGAGTATAGGGCCAGAGCTCTAATTGCCTCAATAAATTTATAATCACAATTTTTTATCTCCAAATACCCATAAAATAATCTCCTCAATATAAAAAACGAATTTGTTCAAGTTATACATCACCCCAATAAACCCACAAAGTTAAAAATTATATTAAGATTCATCTGTCTTCGATTTTTCAAATATCAACTCTGATCCTTCCCTCCGAAATAATCCTGAAAAATATTAAAGGCGGGAAATTATATAATATGACAAGAAACAATATGCTCAATGAGAAAAATAATATGAATGATCAAATACCAAATAATTCAATCGATAGACAATCATAGATAAAAGAATCAAGAATTCAATTCGATAAGTCACATAACTTAATATTTATCAAACCTAGTCTCATACTCGGGTCCTATTGGTGACATGACAAGGGACACCTGAACATTTAAAATTCATACTCATATTGAACCATTACACCTCTCAAGACTGTAATCACAATCGCATCCCGTAAGGCCATAATCACATTTCACTAATTATGCCCCCAAGTACACTTCGTACATGTACTAATCAATCTCAAAGTATATAGCCCAATGTATACGTACAGGTCAACCGATAACATTGATAGGATTTCATATAAATTAGAATAATCAACAGGAATACAAAATTTTAGATAATGAAAGGACACTCTTTGTAAAAAGATTTAAAAGATAGGAACATATTGTATACTACCTTGTTCCTCAAATTTATCAATGACTTCAATAGATGCGAAATTCGAAATACCCCGAATCAAATAATCAAATTTAATAACAATCTAAAATAAATAAAATCACTGCTTAATTTTTGACCTCAAAATCTTATAATTTTTTTTTTGTTCCATCTATCTCTCTCTTCACTTCTCTCTCTCTCTCTTCTCTTCTCTTCCATTCTCCCTCCTTTTCCTTCTCTTTGTGCCTATCAAGGCTTGGGCTTAGCTATTTATAGCCAATATTTGCTTGGTCCCCAAGCATCTCCTTTTTTTTTTTTTAAGCTCGTTTTCAAATCTTAAACAACATCTAGAATAGGATTTTATCCTTTCACAACACACGCGCACACACATATATATAAATAGATATTTATATGTTCATTTATTATATGATTATGAAATTTGACCTAAATTATAGTCATTTGACTTATTTTCGCGTGAAGAATCTATATTTGAGATCCATTTGTTCCTAAAAAAAATAAATCTCAATTATATATAATCATAATTAATGACCTAATTAGCGTTTTAGTAATTATTTTATATACGAGTTGTCACATCCCAAATCACTTATTTTATTGAATAAATTAGGGGAAATGTTTTAATGGTAACTACGACCATAAGGATATGCATAATACAATTGCCAAATGTATCCGTATTATTCACAATGAAGTTAGCACAAGCACTTGATTAGTTTCAAACTCATATTGTACATCTTCATACAATATTTATATTAACAAAAAAAATCCAAAAAAAAAAGGGTAGCTTGACAAAAAAATAAACATGGTAGATTGAAATACCTGCACTCTGCTGAGGATTGATTCCAACACCATATGAATTTAAATAAATAAGTAAATTTAGAACAAAAAAAAATAGGTTAATTTCAATAAACAAACTCTTTTTTGAATTTCATTTTCAATTTTTTAATTTAGTTCACTAAAGTTATAGAAACAAGAATACCGTATGGGAAACCATATCTAAGTTATAGAAACAAGAATACTGGCTGCCACAATCCAAGATCTGCTTGTGAAACTCATTTTCTGCCCCTTTTCTCTTCGAATTTGGAGCTAAAACCAACTGGGTATATTGGATTTTACTTGGTGATTGAGAAATATAAGTGAGTTTGTTTTGTGGAAGTATGAAGGGACTGAAAGAGTTGTTATATAGAGTGAAGGTGAAAGTATGGAATTTTAGGGAAGAAGATAATGGAGGTAGTTTCACCAATTGACAAGGAAATCCCCTGTTTTTGGCTAGTGGTATGGGAAACCATATCCAGCTCTGCTTTGTCTATGAACCTGGACACTCTGGAGAGAGAAAAGTAGGCAAGTGTATGATGCCATGATGGCGAGGTACCACATTCTATGGGCCCTTTTTACCTTGCATGTAAAGTTATCAGAACCGGATTACACATTAAACCGCCAGAAAAATCAAGTCAATGACTTATTGATTCAACAGGTGGAACCGATTACATAATAAAAAAATTATAAAATATAATAATTTAACCAAAAAATATAAAATATGTTCACTATACATACAATTTTTTATACCAATCTTAAAATCTACCATCACAATAAAAATAAAATCCATAAAATAATATTCTAAAATTTTAATTTGGAGATTTTATTCAATTTGGGGTGTGATTGATAATTACTGATTTTCTGACCCTTGTAATTTGTTAGGTGCACTGACTGCATTTATATGTGTTCACTGTGTATACATTGACTTGGTGGCTGGGTGCGTGTAGAGAGAGAGAGAGAGAGAGAGAGAGAGAAGAAGAAAAGCAGTGTTGTGTCGCCTGAGTGCCGCCTGAGCACTGATCGTCATCGCTGGTAACCCGCCTCTCTGTCCACCGGCTGATGATTTCACAGTTGATCGGAAAATCAACAGTCCTTTGTATGCACCGTTGCAATGAATATTTTCTCCATACCCATCTCTCTCTCTCTCTCTGCAAATATCTATCTATCTATATATGTAACAGTATCTTCCTCTGCCAAAACTCCATTTATGAGGCTGTGATAACGATGATTTCAAACAAAAGCAGGCTGTGATGATGATGATCCTTTGTATGCACTGTTGCAGCTTGCTTGTGCCTTTGCGATTTGGGGCAAAAACTTCAAACCGTCCGGTTTTTGAAAACCTGCCGGTTCACGGATTTTACTAAAAATCCGCCGGTTTTCCGATTTTCTGCCGGTTTTCTTCTTTATGTGGTCCAATTAGGGAACCGGTTAAGGTCCGGTTCAATGAACCGATTCAATCGGCCAGTTTGGTCCGGTTCTAATAATACTGCTTGTATGTTGCCACTTAGTTTCAATATATTCCTTGGATTGGTCGTGTTGCTGTTTGATAAGATTTTGGTAATACAGTGGTAAGTCGTATTTATTTAATATTATTCTTAATTTTTATGTGGTTATTAAGTAAGGTTCAATGTACAATCAAAATATCATTTGTTATTTTATTTTGATAGTGCGGTGGTAATGGAGAACCATTCTCAATTAGTAGTTATGATCTACACCAAACATTCTATAGTAGGTAAGGGTGTTCAAATTTTTATTACCCGCAATTTTTTACCCTATCTGATCATACCCGACACTATATATATAAATTTTTATTACCCGCACTGCTACTTGGGTACTGCTCTCATATGGTCCTTCGGCTTATATGGGGGTGGGGAGACGACTCTTTCCCCGATGTGGGACAGAGGTAAAGGCTACTGTGGGGGTTTGCCCCGCAGGTTAGCCGAAATCCTTTGGTGGAGGGCGGGATATCCCGGTAATGGGAGGAATGCCCTTGGAAGACAGGGGTCCGGTAATGGACCAGGGTCTTCACACTATAAAACACATGCAGTGGAGAATATGAGAAGGACATTCAAACTCCTACAAGATCCACGATCTTTGCATTTTAGGAGTAGTGTTAGATTAGTTTTTAAGAAGCATTAACAACCGCAATCAAGACTATAAGTCTAGTCTTTTTTGTAATCGAGGTCTCTTCGATTGTATTAATAAAAGAATTCTTTTTTATTAATTCCCTATATTATCTCTCGATTGAATCTCTTCTGATCACAATAACAAAATTTAAAGCAACAATATGTTATAAAGAATAGAATGGTAATTTTACTATCAAATCAAGTAAAAATATTTTTCGCAATCGATTTTTCATAAACTTCACTTTGAATTTTCTTGGATAAACTATTTTAGAAACATTACACTTGGTATATCAAAATTCTAGTTTCGTTACACAAAAATTCAAGAAATAAGTATGGGAATGCCATTAAAACTCAATTGAAACATAATCAGTCCTATAAACAACACACGCAAAAAAAAAAAAAAAGGGTAAAGCAATACCAATCACATATTCACAGTAAACCTTAATAGAATGAAAAATATAAAACAAGTAATTAAATACAAATCATGACTCATATTGTCCAAAAATATTATTCAATTAAGGAAATTGTAAGATGAAATTACTAAAATATATTTGAACAACTAAATATAGATATGTACTTTTATTCATCCTTTTCTAAGTAAAAAATCATTTATAATTTATAATATAAAGCATGGTACGTTTTAATGAGTTTATTCGACGGTTTCAAATAGAATCATCTAACAACTACCAAATTTTTTTTTAAAATTATTCACATTGCATCGTATTTTCAGACATGAGTTCCCCTTATTAAATACTAAGGGTAACTTGTGTCTGAAGCCACGGTAAAAATTTAAGAACAATGTTGGTGACGGTTGGATGAGTTTATTTGTGACGATTGAACAGAAGTCTATCCCATTTTAAATTATAAATTTGTAACAAAATAAAAAATTGAATCACCCAAAATTTGCCAAAAATCAAATATATCAAAAGTCTGCAAATAGAAAGTCTAATTGCTAATCTAAAAGAAAATTTCTTTTACAAGAAAAACAGAATACTATTTGAAACTAATTTTTTAGAAATAGATTAAATATCGATGAGAAACCTAATATTGTTCCGGTGAAGAAGATGATGTTGCTGCTGCCACTGCGGTGCTCCACCATTATTGCTACTTTGACTGCTTTTATCACCGTCACCACCACCGTATGTTGGTTCGACTGTTTCGGTCGCTGTTACTACCACCGCTATTGCTGTTGCTTAGACTGCTTTGGTCCCCGTCACTATCTCCCGGTCCACCACCATTGCTGTTGGTTGGACTGCTTCCGTCGTTGCAACTGCCAGCACCATTGCTGTTACTTGGACTACTTCCGGCGCCGACATTGCCACCGTCTTCTTCTCCTCCTGGTAGCTTAACGAGAGCAAAGCACGGTTCTCCACCTACTCGGAACGACCACAGTTGAATAACCAACCCTAGTTCAAGACCATTACTGCTCTTCATCGTTTTCCATGACGGTCCGTTCAACACATACAAGGGGCTAGAACCTCCTCGTTTCTTCTTCATCTCCCACCTCCTCAAGCTTACAGTGCACACCTGAAGTAATGGGTCAATCAACCTCACCTCCATAGCAGCCACGTTATTGTCTCCATTACGCCCTTTCAAGGTCTCTCTCTCATCGTCCTCAAGAAACTCGGTCCTGATTTGGCTCTGTGGAATAGAGAGTCGATTCTGAGCGTCGTTTACGTCAGTCCAGTACAGTGCCTTTTGTATCACCAATACAATTGTCTCTGGCGAACCACCCATGTCTCGAATACGATCCTGGAATTCAATAGGCAAAGAGGGTGGTGGGTTTGGACCGTGATCAAGAACCATTTGTCTACCAATCTTGTTCCTGTTGGAGTGATCATCATCATCGTCATCGCTTTCGAATCTTAATCTTTTTACAACCCTTGAAGAGCTTTTTGTACGAGGTGTCGCCACATCTGATTTCGTGAACGATGAATAATTAGCAATACTGTCTAAATATCTTCTAGCAGCGGCCACCTGGTAAGACTTAGCAATCTTTTCTGAGGAAGGACTCCAACCCAAGAAGTACTCCTCTGTTTCATCCATTATCATCTTCCTCTTGTCATTGGAGAGAGGAGAACATTCTGGTAATGTTGTAATTTCGTTCTCTAAAGACTTTTGTTTTCTGAAATTTTCACCCCTTGATATGTCAAGAGGGCCCAGGGAGGCCTCACTTTCAAGTACTTATCGGCATTGGAGTGAGAAGAACCCTCTGGGTTTGTCTTTACAGGCGTCTCTGAAGTCATCTGTTCCTTCAAATTTTGACCACCCCTTGATACGTCAAGAGGGCGTGAGAGAGGACTCAAGTTCAAGTCATCCATTATCTTTAACCTCTGGCCATTGGAGTGATCAAGAACTGAATCTGTGGCATTAGGACTCATGTTCTTTACTCTTTCTTCTTCCAACTTCTCCTGTTCTTCCAATTTGAATCCAGCAACGCTTGCAACTATTGCCATGTAATCCATTGGAGTCCACCAAGGTTCAGGCTTAATACCTATCACATCTTCAATCGTCACGAGCGGTTTCGCCGGAATATCTTTCCCGTCCTGCATCTCCTTCCCCGAGTCCTGCATCTTCCTCTCCGACTTGGAGTGATCAGGAACTGAATCTGTGGCACTAGGATTCATGTTCTTGACTCTCTCTTCTACCAACTTCTCCCGTTCTTCCAATTTGACTCGTACAACGCTTCCAACTCTTGCCATGAAATCCATTGGAGTCCACCAAGGTGCAGACTTAATATGTATCACATCTTCAATCGTCACGAGCGGTTTCGCCAGAATATCTTCCCCATCCTGCATCTCCTTATCCGACTCCGAGTCCTGCATCTTCCTCTCCGACTTGCTGTAATTAACAAAACCCTAATATTTCTTTCAAGAATGTCTGGCAATGGAAGACGAAAAAATTTCCTGTTTTTAATCTGAAAAAATGCTTGGAGCTTAGAGTAAAAGAATCCGTTATAAATTCAATTTGGGATTGGAGGTGTTTTAAGAATGGCAACACGTTTTCTTTTCCTAAACCCTAAAAAAATGGGCCTAACCGGGTTAGGAAAGTTGTGTTCTATTGGTACCTAAAAATTGAGTAATCCTATTTACATCTAATTCTATGATATAATACAATGATGTGGCTTGTTAATAGAGTCTCAATAAAAAAAAAATAATTCTACGGGACCATATGTCATATAATTAGGTAATTACTCGTTTCTAATTAGGCTTCACTATTGATTGCTATATATATTTCTTAGTTTTTATTTTTCTTTGTTATAGAGTGTACCATTGTACCTTGAGTCGGATTAGAGTATGTCTCTAAAGATCAGACTCAACTACTGAACTAGTTTATATCTCTCAGTTTAGAACTCCAAATAAGATTTGTAAATAACCAAACTTATTTATTTTTTGAAAAAAGTGAATCACAACTACTCATGAATAATGCCACTTACAATTAATAAGAAGATCCAAACATGTTATATAATTTATGACCCATCTAATATTATCAAACATTACCAATCAAACGAGAATAAATAATTAAGTTAATAGTTTAAATCAAATAATTAGATTCAATTAACATTATTAGATACGAAGGGATTAATCGATTTTTGTGTTTCAATAGATAAAAATTTTAATCGAGATCTAAAAATAGATTTGTAGTGAAAGAGTGATTTGTAGGCAAATAAGACATGTCTTCGATTATTTAGGAGGAATTCTTGGAATTCACATCTTTTTCAACAACATTGTTCTTCGAGTTCCTGTATGAGAGGAACTATTATAATGAAGTTACGAAAGTTATTCGCATGATTGCTTCGCCCTAATTTTAGGGTCCGTTTGTTTAGTAAGAAAATGATAACAAATGTAAGAAAGAGAAATTTTTAAAATTTTTTATGTGTTTGGTTAGTATAAAATAGAAAATAATGAAAAAATAATTTTCTTTTATACTTGAATTTTCTCACAATTAACAACCTTTTTTTCCTGTAAAAAACACACGTATGTAAATGCAAGAAAGTTTTGATATATAACTAACTTCCCATTTTACCATTTATTTTTTTTAAAATATTTTATTGGTTATTAATTTTAAAAAATATTGATATGAATTTGATTAGCCATATAATTTGGTTCAAAAACTTTTGTGTTAGTGCTTGTCCTATAATTAAGTTACGAGCCACTTTTTTTAAAAAAAATTTAAATTTAAATTATAATACATATTTTTTTAGACCGATTTATTATAATTAAGGATAATTTAAATAATTAAAAAAAATTTCTTATAACTTTCATTTCTTTTAAATAATAGAATGAATTTTTTTTAAACTTTCTCACAAGTTTTTTTTATCATAATCAAATACATGCGTTGAAATATATTTTTTATCATTTTTTTTTCTTTTACTTTATTTTTTATTATTTTTACTTTTCTTCATTCGTTTCTTTCTAACCAAACAGACTATAGAATTTTGCAAGGCTTAAGAAATCGGATCCAATTAGAAGACTATCAAAAATTCAAAATTTTGATCTTATCATGGGAAAACAAGGGTTTATAGATATTGTGTATATTATAAATAAGTTACATAGTGGATATTGTTATCTTGCGTTTTGACATGATTGTAAAATTAAGTTAGTTCCATTGCCCGGAATGATAAGAAAACTCCAAGCTAACTCAATCTTCTTCCCCACTCAAAGACTAAACAAAGCCACTCAATTTGCATTGCAGAATCTTGATGGGCTAAACAAGATGGGCCAAATCAGACCCATCTGGTAACCCAAATTGCTATGCCCTAATTGGCCCATAGGTTAGCCTGACATTGACCATATACATTGGCTGGAGAAAATTATCACCACAGGTTAGCCAACATTGACCATATATAAAAACGGTTACGCCGTGTCAGTAATATTATATAGTATAATCGTTTTGATTAATCATCAAAATTATTATTTTATTATATTTAATAATTGATTAATTTTATATTATTTTTGATTAAATATGTTGAATTCCTTGATTTTTTAGTTTGATATTTTTTCTAGTTGTTTAGTTTATTTTGTAGGTAAATTGGTTGATTTAAAGTAATAATGGATAATGCATGAATTAATCACTAGAGGAAGAATCGCATTTGATAAGGATTAAAGAGTCAATATTAAGATAGGAAGACTTGAAGATATGACAACAATTTAATCTTTGAGTTCAAGATGGAAGAAAACTCATTTAAAGTTGGATTAGGAAAGTATCCTAAAAGAATAAAGATTTGACACGTTTTCAGTATTCTGGTTATAACTTTTGACTCTGATATCCGATTTACTTGATTTTTGGGGGCTGGAAAGAAGACTCCAAGGGCTACAAAAGTATATTTCATGAAAATTTCGTGATTTAGGCTCTAAATATGCAAAATTCAAACTCAAAGTTTGGATAGATTTTGTATCCGCGCCCTAAAGATTTTATGCACCGGATTTAACCTTACAAAACTTCTCTTGGAAAAAAATTCCTTCCAAGCCAACATTATTTCTTCTACTTATACTTAGAATTTATTTTTAGTATAAATAAGGGTTTTCATTTAGGATTTAGAGGATGATTATTTTCCCATCTTTTCTTTTTTAGTTTTAGTTTGTCATGTTTGGCTAGAAGGCTAAGCTATGACTAGGGGAGAACTTCTTAATGAAGTACAGTAATGTTATTGATTCTGAGTTTAATAATTTATGATATTTTGTTAATTTAACCTCTGATCTTATAGCAAAGTTTTTATTTTGTAAAAATCTTTGAGTTGTTGTGTCATGTACATCAATTGCTTGAATTTTTCTGTGAGTAAATAACTGATTATTCTATGCTTGAAGTAATTATCATTATTTCATAAAATAATATAATTGGATGATTATTCAGGTTCCTAAATAATCTTTTGATTATAACTTTTGGTTTTCTTACTAGATTTGTTATTCGAATCAACTGACATCTGATTTTTGTTTCAAGTTAAGTTTTGAATCCTTAATCATTATTGTATGGAATTGAGAGGGAGTAACTGATGTTCTAGTATTTTATTATATTGTTTGAATTACTCCAATCAATATTTTCTCAACTCAACAATCTCTTAAATAAATTATTCTTACAAGTTTACTTTTTATTTGTGTTTGTGTCTCTTGTTTTTCCAATTCCTTGTGGTTCGACCTCGATCTCCCGAAAAATTTATTACTTCGCACAACCTGTATTTTAGTGATCAATTCTAAAGTTGTAGCACGTCCAATAATAAGTGGACAAATGAGCGAGTGAGTCATCACAGAATTAAGTAACCACATATATATGTAATATGTAACCACCTCATGTGAGCAACATTATTCATTTTTTGATTTTTTTTATTAGACGAGTGCACTATATGATATTGTTAAAATAGTATAACAGTTATATTGGATATGAAAATCGTTGTACTCTTTTTAAACCCGTAATAGTTGTACAGAGTACTCCGACATAGGCAACTAGTCGGTGGATATATTCAAATCTGATATAAATCGGACTTTTTCAGTTACTAGTTGGTGTACACGTGATTTATTTTGAGTATTTAATATTTGCATATACTGTTTAATAGGACAACTCGAAGCACTTTATACTTTTGAAGCTTCAAACTATAACCCTGAAAACTTTCTAATTTGACCTCTTTGTTCTTCTATAACTTTAAGTGCATGTTTGTTTTAAGTATTGCGTATGAGATTAAGAAATGTATTCCTTATATTTCTAATACTAATAGAAATTGGTACTACTAATAAAAGTTATTTCAATCTCCTCTCATATTTGTTTGTTCAATAGGTACTATAGTAGGTCTCACAAACAACCATCACATCTTATATAACAAATATACAATTTTATCATTAACAACATCCATTCTATTACTCCGTTTGTGTAAGACTTTTGCATAATGTTTGATATAATACATGGTATGACAATCCATAACTCAAAAATTTTGAATAATGTAAAAATTTTACATAAAAAATAAAGAATATCTAATGCTATAAATCAGTGACACTGTAAAAAAAAATTGATGACGCTGGCTTAATCATAATATAATATAAGGAAAAAATTAAAAAAAAAAACTGATGACACAGTACACTTAAACATAATACAAGGAAACAATTCAAAATAATTTTTAAAAAAAAAAATCGGTGACATCGTACGCTTAAACATAATATAAAGAAAAAATTTAAAATATTTTTAAAAAAAAAATCGGTGACACTGTATGCTTAAATATAATATAAGGAAAAAATTTAAAATAATTTTTTTTAAAAAAATTATTTAAAAAAAAACCGGTGACACTTTACACTTAAACATAATACAAGAAAAAAATTCAAAATAAATTTTCTATATGTGATGTCTACACAGGAGGATAATTGTGTCATTTTTCTTGCTTATTTCATCGGTAGATTTATACCAGCAAATAATACCATCTTGTAGGTGATATTCATTAAAGCCATGTATAAAAGTTAAAAGGTTACTGTAAAAATCGGGTCGGTATTATAACCCGAAAAATAGTACTGCACATAAAATATCAACCAAACAAAAGAATAGGTGGATCTCAATTACTATTTCTTGCTATCTCATCCTATAATACCACTAAAACTTGCAAGACAGACCTACTAATAAACATCCTTCGCTGCTTCCAGTTCAGAAATACTTATGGGAAGATGGCAAATGTAAATATCTTTTTGGTAACTCATGATCATTTCTGCTCAGGATTCCATCATTTTTTACGTATTAAAAATTTCTCGGGCAACTTAGATAGTTCATCCTATTTAGATATTCTAATGAAAAAAACTCAAATACTCAAACACAATCATCTCAAAAATCATACTTGAGTACTTCAAATGTTTTTTGCCAATCTGTCT